TTTTCCCCTACTCAGATACTTGAATTGAATGCATGCACTGGAATTACCAGTCAGATGTCGAGATTAGTGAAGGTATGAGAAAGCCTTTCCCCTGCTTGAGAGAATGTTTTTCTCCAGGGTACTCCAAAGAGCGAGGACAAGTGTTGAGTAATCGGCGTGGCTCTATCCAAAACGTTTCCAGCCCAGCTCAGCCTTTTAGTGCCTAAGCTGGGTTACATATGGGTGCAGTCAAATTGACTTCTTTATACTGCTTTTCTCAGTGCTTCAGCTCAAGAAGCAGTTCACTAGCTCAGTGTCAGCATGGCAAGAATGGATGGAGCTTGAATCGCTGTCCTGTGACACTCATGGTGCAGGAGTATCTGATGCAGTGACAGTTCTAACTGTGCATGGAGCCAGCCCATGGACATAGTGGAGAGGCTGCTGAGCTTGCATTGGAGGCTGTTCTAGCATGAAACAAGTTCTGGGCCTCTACTTCTGAGGCAGTGTTACTCTGTATTACCCATGTAAGCAGAACGTTGATAACCAAGCATATTGAAAACGCACCTGAATATAAATTGAAAGTACAGACTTCTTCCAGGTTGTTTCTTTTCTGAGTCCAGGCTGTAGGCTGCCACTTGGCCATCCTTCATCGTTGTAGCCAAATTCTTCTATTACTATAGTGTGAAAAATTTAGCTGGTTTTGCCACCTTGTCTTAAATAATTTCCAAAGTTCTGCAGATGATACTTCCATTACTTCTTGCTTGCCAATAAACAATAAAAACCAATAATCTACTCAGTTTAGTAATGTTACAGCAAAGCTTGGGTTGAGATTCCTGGTGATGGTTGGAGATCCAGAGGATTCTGTTTCAAGTTGTTCCATTTTTCTTGCATGTTCCCATTCAGACGCATTCCTTGGGGACTGTGTCCAAACCAATAAATTGACGTCTTGCACTTTGTGTCTCATGAATTTGGAAGAACAACAAGAACTATTCTTCACCCCAAAGGCAAGAAGGGACTGAGGACCAAAATTAGATCTTAATTGTCAAAGCTTTTATTCATGGTCTCAAATTCAGGGTAGTGGAATTTGGTTTTGAGGTTTGTTTTGCAGCTCTTTGCTTGTGAGATATTTTGTCAGAAAGTAACACTGCTTTATGGCTTATCTACAGGCTGACCGTGACTGGTACGTCTTGGGACATTTGCCCAAGTAGGCACATTTGGGTTCTCTTTGATGTAGAGACTGCAGAAAAGGATGCTCTAGGCCAAAGACAGAGTTAGTCTCAACAAAAAGCACCGAGTTCAATAATAACTGGTAGTCCCCACCAGATTTCAGTGATGAAACTCGGAAGGCAGCTCAAGAGGGCACTAAGTGACACAGTGAAATTGAAGTTTCTCATGTGCCTTCTCTGTAGCATGTCCTGTCCAAGAAGGAATGTGTGAAGCTGTTTCCATCCTCTGGGATCACCTGTCCTCGTTGCACTGACATGCAGGGTGGGAAGAGTTATGTCACATTCTCCTCCATTTGGAGAATAATTGTGTATTCTTGTATTCAAATGTGAAGGTATATTTGACCAGCTGTGGATTAAAAGGAAATGTCCAGCCCCCAATCCTCTCCTTTGCATCATTTTGGAGCAATTCAATGACAGGAAAGGCAGTTCTCTATGGTCTTCTGGACTTGTCTGAGAAGGTGACACATCCTTGGAGAACTGTGCATATCTAGTGTATAATGAATATGTTTTTTCTGGTAGTTTTTTTCTGTAAAGGCAATAGAGCATCTTCTCTGCTGCCACCGATTTGAAGCCCAGACACCTGACAGTAAAAGAATTTCCTCAGAGTCACTTGTTGCCCCTGTGTAGTAAGAGTTGACTCTACATGAAAAGAGGGTCTACGGAGTAACTCTGTTCAGAATGCTTCCAGATGGATGTATCTCTTTCTGTGAGCTGAAGTGACTGTGTGGTGTGTCAGAAATTAAACTGAGTAGATAATAATTTGCCTTTGCAGTTATGCTGTGCACAAATATGCAGTATCTAGCTGTTACAGTCACTTGAGGGTGGGCAGAGGAAGAAAGATTCCCCCCCCGCAAAGGAGAAAAAAAAAAAAAAAAAAAAAAAAGGCAGACGGTAGGTTCTGAATTGCTGAAATCTGTTGCCCTGTACCAAAGAGGACGCACTTCACAGCAAGATTAAAATTCTCGGAGAATACTTCCACTTCTGTGTTATGTTGAAATCTGCAATTTAAAAGTTTGAGAAAGAATGCAGCTCCTTTATTTAAGGTTCACATCCTCTTGTCTTCCCTGGCATACCGAGGGCAGCACAGCCCATTTAAAAAAAAAAAAAAAAAATTATGGAGTAGCAAAATAACACAAAGTATTCTAATGTAGGAAAATACAACAAAATCTTTGGGGAAGTATGTTCTTGTGAAATAAGTACATGTTTTGCCAACAAAAGTCCTGTCATTAGGCAGTGTGTGTTTCAGAACTTGACATGTAGTGGAGTCAGTTCAGTGTATTGGTATATGTTACAAATAATATGATAGTTGATGATGCACAGTTAACCTGTGGATCTTGGAATTTTGCTGGTCCCTCTCCTGGGAGCATGGAGGGTGAGTTGGAGATGGGTGCAGAGGCTTTGTTCCATCCCATCCCCCTGGCATGGTCGAGGGAGAGCAGCCGTGGTATCTGATGCCCGTGGAGGAAAAGGAATGTGCAAATTCTGTGAGACAAGTAGGGCTTGTTTTTAAAATAAAGATAAGTTGTTCAAAGTTAAGTTTTACAAAAATAACTCGTTTACTGATAACTTTATCTACTTGGAAGATGAAAATTTAAGTGAAAAATAGACTTATCTGGGTAGCGTAACTCTTACCACTGGTGATAGGAAAATTGATAACGCGGTTTGGGACTGACAAAGCAAGTGCTGTACTTACCGCAGCAGACTTCTGTATTATGTTGTCTTGCGATTTAGTGCCACAAAGCAGATTAAAGTCGCTGGAAACTATCTTAAGTGTGCTTCCCTGTGCAGCAGAGACTTTGGAAAATAATGCACGTTGAGCAGCTTTTGATGCCTGTGCTTGAGTACAAGCTTTTTTCAAGGAGTTGGGTAGAAAGAAAAAGTAAGTTCGGAAGGCGTAGGGACTGTGCGCAGTACCATGATTGCGTACAAGTGCGGGTAAGTGCATCTGGGACCCAACCATTCCTGAGCTGGAAAGCCTTTTCCAGCTGTAGGCTGGGGCTCTGAAGCAGCAAGGAGGCTGAGGACACGGTAGCGCATTTTCAATTCCTTGTGTTCAGCTGCAGGTCCTGGGTGGGTTGGTGGCTGCGTGGGCATGGCGGTGGAGTGCTGCGCCTGGAAGCTGAAGCTTCTGCGTAGCCGCGTGGGTTTATCCAGCGCACCCCACTGCCAGGGGATATGTGTTGGGCTCTTAGGGCATTTGTTCAGTTATTTCTTACTCTGTACTTAAAAACTTTTAACCTTACTGCTAAAGAAGAATACCATTGTCTATTAGTACGACTGGAACGAAAGATGAATAGCAAGTTAGCCTTGAGCGAACTGTCAATCTGACTTTGATAGCTCATTGCTTAAAAGGTCCTTTTATGTTTATGAAAAAGCATGACGTCAAAGCCAGGGAAAAAAATAATACCAATACTTAGGGCTAAACTTGCATAGCTTCCAAGAAGAGCCCCTGTGTGAACTGTTTGTTTCTCTACATGCGTGGCTAATTAGCGTAGGTTACTATAAGTCTGAGCGGTGGTGTTCAAGTTTCTTCTGCTGTTTTGGGGTAGGTTGTTTATGGTGCTTCCATATGTGAATCCCTCAAACTGGAGTAGCGTATAACAAAGGATATTGCAGTCGCTTCTCTCACAGCCTATAAGTAATATGCTGGAAATGCTTGAGTATAATCATTATCAGGTGAGTTGTTATTGCAGACTTATTTTAAAACCTGTTGTTAAGAAGGCTTACAGTATACAGGAAATCCTTTTCCGCTGGTATCTAGTATGCTTTATTTAATTTCTTCCACAAAAATAAGTGGGGTAATACATGGTCACTTGCAATAGCAAAAGTCACTTTAATAGAACTGTTTTAAAACAAAAAAAACTTACCAGAGTATTATTATTTTTTGTTTTGTTTTCTACCTTCCCGTAAAAACATTAATGATCAAAGAAAGGTGACAAAGAGTTTCTGGGATATAGTGGAAATTTTGCATGGAAAAAAATTGCCTGCCTTCTCTTGCTTCTTTAGGGTGCACGAGAATAGTTCAGTATGAGGTTTTTCATATTTTGTATATAAAAAAAATTAAGTGCTGAAAAGCTTATCTTAAATACAAAAATAGCTGTTGCTGAGGACAGTGATTGATCTGAACCGAAACATTTCTTTTCTTGTATCGTAGTTACATAATGTGTTTATAAAGAGACTGTCTTAATTGTATATGATTTAGGCCATATATCTGAGATGTAAATAATTTGTAGGCAAAAAAATGGTGTATTCCTTTCTTTCAAACAATGTGTCACTTAAAAAAAAAGAAAAAAGAAAAAAAAAGAAAAAAAACCCGAAAACCTAGAACAACAACATCAAACCTTTTGATCTTTCTGTTACTTGACGTCTGATAAAGGATAGCAATCCATACTACTTGGTTTTAATTGGTAGCTACTAACAAGTGAAATTAATCTTCATATTTTAGTGAAAACTAAATGTCGTGTAGCTGAAGGTCTGAATGGAGAGCCGTCTGTTCTGGAGTATCTGTATGGACTGGAAAACTTAGTCCTAAGTGAGAAATCACATGTTGTAGAAAAATACATGGAACTTCTTGGTTTACCGTTAATAAGTCAGTTATTGAAACACTAGCTTTTAAACTGATTTCTTGCCATCGAATGTGAATTAGTGAAGCGCTGTTGACTTCCATGGAGCGGCACATGTTTGTACTTCAAGTCAAATGCTTAGCTGGTATATATGTCACAAATGTATAGCTCAAATCGATAGCATGTATAATGATGTAAAACAATAAAACACTTCTTAAATTGTGTCATACAGGTGCAGACTCACCTTGAGAATCCAACCAAGTACCACATTCAGCAAGCCCAGCGGCAGCAGGTAAAGCAGTACCTCTCTACCACTCTAGCAAATAAACATGCCAACCAAGCCCTGAGCTTGCCATGTCCAAACCAGCCCGGTGACCATGTCATGCCGCCTGGAACTGGAAGCAGCGCACCCAACAGTCCAATGGCTATGCTTACCCTTAACTCCAACTGTGAGAAAGAGGTAATAAGCTCTCGCTGTGCATATTCTTCAGTAAACTGGAATTGCAATCTACTTGCTTTCTGTTTTAAACCATATTTGCTTATTGTTAAAATGTTATGTTTATCTTCTTTTCTGAACTGTTCACTTTGAAAATGCAACTGCTACCTCTGTGTCTGCCTGATTGATATATATTTGCACAGAACATTTTGGCAAAAAAAGCTGTGTCCCTCTAGCTTCCTCTTTTTTGAACTATTTTAGCTAGTTCATGCTTATTAAAACTCCCCCCCCCCCCCCCCCGCTTGCTTGGTGCATGTAGTGAATAATTGACCTTTGGAGAATACAAAGCAGTTTTTTGTAAGCTGTAGCTTTCTGGAATAATGTTATTTATGGCTCATTTGTGTAGAAAGGGCAAAAAGCATAGCAAAAATAACTGAGAAGCACAAAGCTTTTTGAGATAGTTTCGATGTTTTTACAGTAAAATTTGAGCAAGTCTCTTGCTTAGCTGGAGGGCCAGATTATCGCAGCTAATATAGTCTAAAATGTTACTGATTGCTGTTTCATGATGAGCTCAGTGCTGCAAATATAAGACTTCACTAGCCTATGCCTAGAAGTCCTTCGCAACCATGTCGTAATCTTTGCTGGCAAAAACTTCATTGGATGTTGGATGTTACATGTGTGCTCAGGTGTCGAAGGAAGATGATTTGAAACATGTTAACAAGTGTAAGAATCATGTGAATATTTTTGTAATATGACAAATGGGAGGCAATTGTAGAGTCCCCCATCCTCCCCCCTCAAGCCTTTATGCTGGTTTTTTAATACAGATGCACTCTGTGAGGAAAACGTTGTGTAACTTTGAGAAACGGTTATTACAGAACCTGTTTTGCACATGCAAGAGAAATGACTTGTGCTCCATAGCTTCAAAAGAAATGAAAATCAAATAGCTCCATCCTATTGTCCCAACTGTACCCAAATCTCTTTTTTCCTCAAGATATTTACAGCTTCACTTTGCTGTGTCATCAGGCACATGTGTGCATGACACTGTTTCAATCGTGCTCTTTTTGAGACTGAGACTGTGCCATGAACTCAGATCCATGCTTTGCTTTTTCTTTTTTTTTTTCCCTTCTTTTTTTTTCCTTTTTATTTCTGCAGGGATTTTATAAATTTGAAGAGCAAAGCAGGGTCGAGAGTGAGTGCCCGGCTCTGAATACACACTCACGAGCATCATGCATGCAGGTACTGGATGACACAGGAGCTGGAGCACAGGTCCCCTTTCTAATAAGCATGTTTCTTTGAAGTTATGTTGAAGAATGAACTTGCCCTGTAGGGTTTTTAAGAAGTTGAATATAAGGTGTATTTAAGGAACAAAACAACAACGTTGTTTGTTAGCATTGATGTCAAAAGTGCATTAAGACATCTGAAGAGGGCTAGTGCTTTCCTAGCACCGCAACGCTGTAGCAGAAGAACACATCAACCGTGCTTTAAGTTCTCACTTCAGGAAATCTTTTCTAATGCAGTTTTCCCAAGACTGCACGTGTGTGTTCTTGTCCTGATAGTTTCTAAGACCACATTTCTATGCAGATCACACATGCATTTTAAAAAATTGATACAAGAAGGTTTTAATCCATCCATCGTAATTCATCCTTAATAGTAATCTTTTTTTCTTTTTTTGTTGTTGTTTATGTGTTTTGGGGTGTTATTGTGGGTTTTTTTTTGTTGTTGGCTGTTTCTGTTTGTTTGTTTGTTTTTAAACCAAGGGTTTTTTATTTCTAGTAACAAGACTTTGGATATGGGCTGTAAACTGTTAGCTCCTTTCTTACCCTCACTTCCAGTCAGTGTAATTTTTCCTGATCACACTTTCTGGACCTGATATAAAAATCCCATATACTATTGTTTCTACCATCGATGTTATGCATTGATTTTGTAGATGACCGTCATTTAAGCTCCTTTTTTATAGTGAACAAAAAGGAAATAGTCAATCCTGCAGGACAGTTTGGGGCACCTGCGCAGGTGCTTTGGAGGACTCTGTTTCTCCTGACTATGCAGGAGCTTATGAAGGCACCTTCCAGCCCAACCCCAGAAAGAAAATGTCTTGCACCACCTAAAATCATCTCTGAGCTGCTCTTGGGTGGCCCTTCCTGGGAAGGGTGTATGAGGGATTTGGATCCAATGGATTCTGTTGTCAAGGGTGGGCAACCTGTCACCCAGCAGCAAGTCTTTGTTCCCTCTCCTTCCCCTGCAGGTGTCAGGGGCTCGGGCATTACTGTCCGTACGCACGTTTTGACCCCACAACTAGAGGAAAGCAGGCAGTGCCGCACAGGGGAGCGGGAATCATGTCGTTAGCTCCCCAAAAAAACGAGCTACGCTATCTCCTCTGCTGCTCCTGAGAGGAGCAGTGTGTCTGTGGGCCGGTAGTGCAGGGTAGCTGCTGGTGGGAGGAGTGGGTTAGACCATGAAGCCTCAGCTTGGTCATGGGCTGTCTGTCGTGGCTGAATAGCGGGAATCGTGGCTGAATAGTGGGAGTAATGGCTGAGGGACTGGGTTTGGAGCGTGGCAAAAGCACACAGGCTCCTCTGCCTGGGCCCGTGCTGCAGAGAGACGGTGTGTGGCTGAAGTGCTTTGTCAGGCCTCTGTATCCAGTGGTTTTGATAACCAGTTTGTTTTTCTTTGTCTACCTCTTCCACTGCAGATGGATGATGTGATCGATGATATAATTAGTCTGGAGTCAAGTTACAATGAAGAAATCCTTGGCTTGATGGACCCAGCCCTGCAAATGGCAAATACGGTACAATGGTCCTTTCCTTCTGGTTTCCCTGTTAAGTCTAATTGTCTTCCCTTGAGAGAACACAAAACTGTAGCATGACTTTTTTTCCAATCGATTAAGTACTTATTGTATTGTCCCGTAAAGTGTAATTAGTTTTTCTTTGAAGAGCTTAAGGTATACAGTTGCAATGAAAAACATGAATTTGAAAACACAAGCTGGAGTCAGGTTGAGGGAATACAAAGGACAATTTTACTTTTCTTATTTCGAAGTCAAGTTAGTCCGTGAGAGGATTGTAACAGAGGAGCGAACTGAGCTAACAGAAGCGAGCTCATACCCACCCATATTAAAGATCATTGTGGACATTATACTTGGCTTCAGAAAGCCTAGAAGGAACCTCTGGCACCTCAGGTTCCTGTGTCTTGTCATGTTCAAGTAAGAAGTTGTACACCACACTTAAGCATGTGTTAGCATCTCTGTCCAGAGACACTCTAGTTTAACTGTTAGCTCTGACATCATAGTTTTATCTTAACCTGATCTCAAATGGAGAGAAGTCCCTAGCTAGATGACAGCAAAGATGTTACAAAATTTAGGGGGAGAAAAAAAACAAACAAACAACAAAAACCAATCTTCAAAAAAACCAAAAGGGGAAGGAATAAAGAAGCTTAAAAACTGAATGGGAGAAGGGGACATAGGAAGCCTGTGATGAAAGACAGGAACAGAGAGATGCGAAAGTCAGTGAGTGAGGGAAGGTGCAGGTTACCTCTGAATAGCTGTTTGCTGGTTCACATTGCTGTGAGCATTAATATAATCATACTTCTGGCATAATCTTATTTTGATCTTTTGTGGAGGGTAGCTCCAGTGAATTTTTTTGCCTTAGGCTTAAGTGCTGTTAGATCTGGCTGAGTAGATGTCTGCCAGGGCTGGCATCTGTTTCTTTTTTATCTAGTGCCAAAACTTACAGCTTACCACGTAGCATTGATTTTGTAGCATAAGTTTACATTTGCTGACAGTACTTGTCTGATGTCATGTTAACTTAGTCCTACGCTCCCACAGATTCCCACAGCCCTCTTGGAGACGTGGTGCATGCCGCAGGAAACGGCCCACCAGCATTCCTTGCTATATAGTGCCCTTTGAGTAGACAGAGGAATAACTGCAGAGTTCTACTGGGAAGAATGTGTTTTTCTTTCATCTAAGATGACTTGAAAAGTGCATCTGTCCTGGAGTTTCCTGGAGAGGAAAACTTAAAAATCCGTGAAAAGATCATTTTCAAGATAGCTACTGTGTTTTTTTTTTATTGAGGGTTCAGGTTTTTCTGGAGTCCTTTCTCTGAAGTTCCACTGGATTGGGACCCTTAAATTAGAGGGGACTTGGATTTCTTTGTGCTTTTCTTACTATCTCGTTTCACTGGGACCCCAGCAGTAGCTCTTTGCTTCCAGAGAAGCACATAATGGTACTCTGAGTTCTTTTGGTGCAAGGAGTCTGTGTAGTCAATATTTAGGGTAGTCTGTTTCCCTCCTGCTTGCCAAGTGACAACAAACCTTGTAAAGACTGCCTGATACACATTTGCTGTGAAATTTCAGAAATTCCCCACTGTGAAAATGAAAATTCTTTTAAAATGAAAATCTTTTAAAATAAGGATATGAAATAGTAGAATTAAGACTTTTCTACCAATACATTTAAATTGCTGGATGCAAAAAGCATATTTCAGTCTCTGAATTAACCTGGTACCAATCCTGAAGAGATGGAAATTGAACCATGTTTCCCAGCAGTTGGTTTGGGAAAAAAATGAACCCGATGTAACAGACTCTTTTATTTTGGGACAGGATTTAGCTCTTGAAACATGCAACATTTTACTAAAAAGGAATTAATGTCTGTAGACTGAGCTAAGTAGAGGTGGAAGAAATCAAGAGAGGAAATGGTCTCTAAAGATACACAACCTATAAATAGCTGTGCTGAGACTACAACAAAGGCTGCTATTGTTCCATAACCAACAAAGAACAAAAAGACCAGTTTGTTACATTTGGTAACAGTACTTAATTGATAAGCAAAATCAGAGATTTCTGTGTAGAGCGAGCTAAGGGAAATTTCCAAGTACCTCTTAACTGAAAAGGCCTCGTTGCAATCAACTGCTAGTGGAAGTGTTTGTAAACTTTGGTATTGGGTCACAAGTTAACTGGCTTTGCTTCTGTGGTGAAAGGCATCACAAAACTGTCGCTGGTTTGCTGAGAGGGTTTTCTGTGTAGATATGACCTAGTAACTGAATTGCTAGGTACTGTGTAAAGTACTCTTGTATGCAAGGTTGAGATGCCAACTAATTCATCCAATTAATCAATTTCTAGCAAGAGTCTGACATGGAAAGCAGCATGAGTATGTGCCGCTCCACTTCTAAATGTGACTTTCCTGTGGAATTTAAAGTCCAGAAGTAGAGAGGAGTCTTATTTCAGGGACTGCTGCTGAGCATGTGCTTGTAGGTAAGGGAATAACACAATATGCGGTAGGCTGCACGTGCTGGGGAACAGAATCCCTCTCAATGTGTACTGATACCTTAGAAACAACCTTGTTGATCACTCAGCTGATGTCTCAGAGATTTATATAGAGCCCAGATGATCTGAATGTGGGTGCTTGTTTTGTTGGGAGTAGTGGAGGAGAAAGGAAAGCCTCAGATTCCCCTGAATGTATGCTATGATGAGTCTGCAGTAATAATTACCATATTTGAAATTTCTGTTATATAAAAGCAGTAATTTGTTTGTGCACCTTGTGAAGCTAAGGCCTAGAAATACGAAATCTCACAAATGAAGGCTTTTTAGACCATGCTGTTTTAATCAAGATAACAAGCTAAGCCTGGCATAACCCACTCTTCCTTCATTTACTTTTTGGGAGAGTAAAGGTGGATGACCTGAATGATGCTGTATTTAAATTCCTTCTTAGACAGAAGTGGCTAACAAAGCCTTAAGGGAAGCAAATTTGAGTTGGAAGGATGCTAGAGTTTGGTGAAGGCAGAGAAGGAGCCTCCTTAGCACCAGAAAAAGGACATAAAATTCCATGTCTTTCTCAGTGTTGAGACTCACATCTTCCCAATGAAATGGCTGTGGGAGTTCTGAGCATTTTCCTGTCGCTTTGTACTTGGGGAAGGGCATGAAAGGCTTGACTGTCTTAATTAGAGCTGAAATGTTTGATTTTTTTTTTTTCCCCAGTTCCTTCCAATCAGAGGCATTTGAAATAAATGCCAGGTGTTGCTGCATTGTGTCTATTATAAGTCCCTTCTGGTTTTCTTTTGTTTTTTTGTTTTGGTTTTTTGGGGGTTTTTTTTTTGTCCCATTTCAGCTTAGTGGCTGCTTTTGTGTGCTCACAGCACTGCCAACTTGTCAGCCTCAAACCTATGCCCTCAGCACAGGGGTCCTCTCCCCTTTCCAGTTCCCTGAACTCTGCACTAATAACTCTTGGTCTTAATTACAAGTCAATTAATTTTTATTTCTCTGGGACCTGGAATAGAATTGGGAACAGAGGATGTGCCTCAGTTTTCACTTACCTTTAACTGCAGGTGTTTTAGCGATGTGAGATGAGCTGAAGTGTTGAATGTACTTTGTATTTTTCAGGTGAGAGGGGTGGTATAGAGTTAGTCCCAGAGATGTGACTTGCAGCCATCATGGAGAAGAGGCCTCTTAGAGGAGTGTGGACCATACATGTAGTCACACCCGTAGTAAAAAGTTAGAACTGCAACTTTGACCTGTGGAGTTCAGCTTGCTGACAAAATTAGTCAAAAGAAAGAAGCCGATGAGCCTCTTCGCTTATGGATCACTGATTTAAACTGAGATTGTTGGCATGTACCTCTAATGTAAATTTCCCTGATAAGCCTTCATGTGTACATGCAGACCTGCAACGTTCATCTGCTCTGCAAATTTCTCCCTTCATGTTCCTGTATTTAGCTAATGCTGCATCAGCAGTGCTCGGGCTTTGGTTGTTGCACAGCTCTTGGTAGGGTTCCTCTGGTGCTTGCAATTTCACGGGACTTCAGCATGCACGTTCAGCAGCTGCTGCCTGCACTACATTCCCCTTTTGTGGTGATTGCTTGCACAGGTCCCCTTCATTTGCCCAGAAATCTGGCACAGTTTTGACGCCTTTTTTTAAAAACAAAACCAAAACCCAAACAAACCCACAAAAAACACAGAACACAAACAAACAAACAACCCACCCAAAAATCATAAACCTGTTGTAACAAATAGGGTCTATCTTGCAGTAAGTAAAGCAGCTTGGTGACCTTTACTATTCTCCGTGTTTAATTATAACCTAGCTGCTTTCCCGGGCTTCGAGATGCTGGCTTCTAGATTGGGGCGAGGGGAGATGGAGGGAAGAAATAAAAATTTTTACTTTTAATTCCCTGAAATTCCTAATTAGATTTCACATGTCTGGTTCTGAACTTCAAGTCCCTGGGCTACAAACAAGTTCTTTGTGCTCTGTCCATGCTTAGGAGCATGAATAGAAAAAGCGCATCCAAGTCAGAAGAGTGTATGACGCTATTGCTGTGCCTGTGTCATGGATGCATTTGAGAGGCCAAAAGATACAAGGGTCAGCCTTGTAGAGCAGTGAGAGAGTGGTCACCCTGACATTAATATGTATACGTCACAACTTGGACCATAGTCTGTGATGGACAGCTGTGACCTTGGATTTATTATAGATGTTCTTTTTTTTTTTTTTATATTGTATTCAAGAGCTAAGGGAGGGCAAGGAATTGTAAGGGTGGATCTTGGTGAGAATTCAGGTACATGTTTTCCTCTGTCACTTAAAGATTGAGTCAGGGGACTTCATTTTTGTTGTTGGCCGCTGTCTGTTCAAGACAGGTATCAGCCTGGCTTCTAGCTGGTGGTACTTTTAATGGATGCACATCAACTTTGCTTCTTACGGTAGCTCCAGACGGCAGAGAAATTTTCTTTGGTCTGGCAAGGACCATCAGCATGAGTTTAATAGTCCAGGCTGTGACTCACTCCATTGTATTCAACAGCATTATTTCCATGGGTGTAAAGTTAATGCTCTAATCTTTGCAGGATCAGTGTCTTGGAGGGATTGGTTTTCTTTGCAGCAATCATGATAAGAAGTATTGCTACTCAGATAAGATATCAAAGTGTTGTATACCTGTCTTTTCAAAACCTAGTTTGCAAGCAAAAAAGAGATGGGTAAAATAATCCACTCAGGATAAACTTATTTAAATATGTTTCAATTTAAAGAGATAGCCTTGATAAGTCCTGTTGGAATACTATCCTATTTCTGTATAAATCTCCTTGGTTAAACATACCTAAATAAGAATAGCAGAATGAACGAGTAATTGAAGAAGCTTAATGTCAAAATAATCTTCCTCCTACTGATGCGTGTTCTTGTTACGTAAGTTAAGTAAACTTAAATATTTTCTGTATAGGTAGCTTTCAAATCACATGAAAAATGTGATTGATTAATACAGTGTTTTCCCTCAAGCAAGTGACATCTTGCTAAGTACTTTCACTCACATATTCCTGGGAAAATGGGGGCTTCCTTCAGGAGTGTTCTGTAGAGTGTTTCAGATTTTTTGAGTAAGAGAAGTGATGGGGGTACAGATGTAATAGTTTCACTGAAAAATAAGGAGCAACAATACAGCAGTATTGTCAACGTGTTACTACTTCTGCATATTCTTGAGGAGACAGAATTTTCCCAATGTAGGTGTTTTATTCTTCGTGCCCGTGCATATGTGCGACTTCTGCTACCTTACTGCACTCTCTGTTTGCACATGGAAAAGAGCACAGATTTCTTAGCAGATCCTAACTCTGTTCTTCTGTACAAAGCCTTTCATAAGGGCAAAACAAATGATCCTTTTCCTTGTTTATCTTTTCCAGTTGCCTGTGTCTGGCAATTTGATTGACCTTTATGGCAACCAAAGCATGCCTCCTCCAGGACTAAACATCAGCAACTCATGTCCAGCTAATCTTCCTAATATAAAAAGGGAGCTCACAGGTAAATATGTCTATAATACCACCTTGGAGCAATAGTATAATTGTTTTGAATTCAGGTGATATTGGACATAATTTCTGTTATGAGAAAGAATTTATGGATGAATAGTTACATTTTGCTTTGCGGACCATTTTTTAGCAGACATATTAGCCTGCAGTGCAGTTGTGTTCATTTGTGGGCATGTGTGTGTTCACTGTGACAAATCAAGATAAAGTCCCTAGTTGTTGCAGTGAAATCTGCACCTTGAAAACATTGTGTTACAGGAAGCTTCTGTGCATCTCTTGCAGGTCTCTCTTCTAGTTAGGGGTTTTTGTTTGCTCTATCAACACCAAGCTTGAACAACTTCACATCTGGAGTCTCTGTGGGATTCATGTTGAGGAATGCTACATGTTGAGGCTTTACTCTAGTGGGGGGGGCAGTAATGAACAAATAGCCTGTTGTAATATGAAATCCAGACACCTAGATCCTGTAAAATGTAAAATTAGGCACTCAAGAGAGAATATGCTGCATCTCTTAGATGAAAATGAGGTATGCTGTAAATTCCTTGTCATGTTGGTTATTCCAGCAGTGCTGTGAATAAGCCGTGGGAGGCTGGGGGACATTAAAAGCTTAGTTCTCTCAAGCACATGTGCACAGAAGCTAAATAGTTTGAAGAAAGAAATAAGTTTCGTATTCTCGAGCATGTTTTAGTTTTGCTGTTGTTCTTCCCTTGAAAGGATATAACCACATGTAGCATACAGTATACAAGGGAAACTTGTCTGCCGGAGGAACAAATGGAGATCGGTTCTAGAACCGATGACAAAATCATCTTAATACCCAGAAATGGCAGTTCTTAAGCCCAGCAGGGAGTCATACTGTATGGAGTATGGTAGAGGCATACTTTCTCTCTTGTCTGTTGTCTTTCTGGGTTTCTGTTATGAAAACTCACAGGCTGACTCAGTTGCAAAGCAGGTTCTGGGCAGGAATTAGTTAAGTAGAGCAGTTTTAATAGCCCAGGAGTCAGCTTCTCAGGAGGAAATGCCACATCTCTGAGCTGGCGGATATTTACGTTTATATGACTGCACAAAATTTGAGTTCAGCACCAAATGAAGATGCACAAACTGCACAATGATTTGTAGCTGCTAGAAAAAGAAAAGCATGTACAGCGATAGAACTATGTGAAGAGGAGTATGGGAAGGAATGAGAACTACTCAAAGTCTTGCATTACACACGGTTTCATGCCCCAGTTATAGAAAGTCAAAGGTGGCTGTAGACTCCAAATTAAACATCCAACTCGTCAGATGTCCAGGCTGGTGGATTCACTGTAGACAGTTGTGTAAGAATTCAGAAAGAAAGGGGAAATTGGCGCGTGGTCTTATGGAAGTCCTCAGTACATAAAAGTAGACCTGAACGAAGTTAAATGTCTGTATGCTACATTCACCTGTACACAGAAACAATTTAGATGAGTGCTTTTTCTGTTCAAAATATATGCTAGCAGATTGCATTTAGTTTAGGAGAGGTTTAGGAATTAAACTCAAATTTAACAGCAGTTACTTTGACATTGATCTGGCCAAGCCTTTGTGCAGAAAGCACTATTGATGGTGCTTTCTGACAGCCAGTGATTTTAAAGTCAGCGTGTTATTGCAGGCAGGAGTCTTTTGGTTCTTCATTTCCTGATTTTGCTGTTGAAACTAGGCTGGAGAGAGCTTGCAATGTTTCAATCTAGCATTTATCAGAAACCTTTCTCCATCCTACTGTGTAAATATCAAAATTATGAAGAACCAAGAAAAGTCAAACCCCAGCATCTGATGTTGATGATGGTTGTGAGTTCTCAGCTGTAGTTACTGAAGCATTTAATGGGAATTCTGCTCGCCCAGGAGTGCAGTTTCCATCAGTTTTTGCCTTACAGACGTCATACCTGTTTCATAAGGCAATGCTAGATTAAGCCCAAATGTCATTGAGACTGCAATAGCCTTTCAAGCCTTTTTTGGGATCTTTTGGGAGCCTAGCAAAGAAGATGATGTCTTGTTAACCTGCACGTAATATTGAGGTCGCTCTGTATTCTAAGTAATGAAGTAGGCAACTTGCAGTACTCCAGGGGAAACCCAATTTTGAATTGGGTGGAATATAATCCCTGTTCTATAAAAATACAAGAATACAGGAAAGAAACTTGTTCGAATGAGTGAGGGGATTTGTTTCCATAACGGACTGTGTGATAGTAGATCACATACTCGCTTGTCCTCATTGACTGACTGCAAAACTAAATAACGCTTGCTGGTTTTGAGATTTAAATGCAACAGGACAAGGATTAATGACCTCACCCTTTTTAAAAACTAAAAGTGATCGAGCAAACAACAACAAAAAAATTAAAATTGCCTGAGAAATGTAAGATCAAATGAGACTGAGAGTAACAAATTTAGTTATGCTTTTGCATGAACTATGCGTGCTGAAGTCCAATAATAGATGTGTGAAACGAAGTTAAGAACAGGTCTGAGTCAAGGAGACAACTGGTGTGCAGCATGGTTGTAATTATTTTTCTTTTTGCTTTTCCTGAAGCAAGGGCCATTGTTTTCTAATAATATCGCTAATAAAGGTGTTGAACTTTTGATCTCTCTTTCACACGAGAACAGTTAGTGTAGCTGGAAAATGCAGTAGTCTTTAATAGGTCGCTTAAGTCATACCCTGAGTCTTGTGGGGATGTGCATGCACGTGCCTCAAAAGGACGTAGCCTTAATTCCGGCGAGTAGAGCCTCTGACTCCTGACTGTTTCACATCCTGTGCAGGTAGCAATGCAATAAGCATGCTGTTCCTCTGGTTCAGCTGCTGTGTGGTGCGTAAGCGTGCCAGCTGTATGTAAACGCAGGAGAAGGTATGTTGAATTTCAGCAGTTTGTTGTCCTCAAATACCTTGCTGAATCAGGGCCTCCGTGGGAAACATTCTCGTCACAGAAGTCAGTAGTGAAGTATGGGAATGGATGCTCCCCAGGTGCAGGGATGAAGTTCAACGCCAGCGTTGCAGTTTGGCAGTCACGGCTTACTGTACAGACCCTTCTCACTCATTGGAATGGGTGTAGTAATTGGTTTGACAAATATCGATCAGGTTTCCTGTGCAAATCTTTCACAGGCTGAAACGCTGTGTTTGAATTACTTTAATTCTAATTACTTCATTCACATGCACAGCATGTATTTTTCCTACAGAGTCAGAAGCAAGAGCGTTGGCTAAGGAGAGGCAAAAGAAAGACAATCACAACTTGAGTAAGTTTTGGTTCCTTTGCATTTTGCACCAACTCTAGTAACGATTTTAGGTGTTATGTGTTTAAATGCTGGTGTGTTAAGCCTGAATGAGACACTGCATGTAGTATATGGTACCAGTTCATTATGTTATGCCCATAGATCAAATATCCAAGTTCTTGTGAAATGCGTGCTTAAATCTACTACTAAATTCTAAACCTCCCCCAATAAGACAAGTGAATGGCTGGTTGTTATCAATGGAATTACTGGGAATGGTGTTTGATCCAGTTGCTTTTAACAAATCCACCTTGCAAAATTTTACCTTTTTTTTTTTCATCTAAAATCTTAGATGTATGTGGTCAGTTTGTGACTTTAAACATCAGTATGCTTCCTCAGTGTGGCAATTCCATAAATTCCATTTTTTAAGGGAATGCATATTTCCAAGTTGGAAAAAACATCTTAAAATAATGAGTTTCTTATGACTTAAAAGAGGATCCTTTATATTTTCTGTTACTAGAAAAAAGGAATTGTTTCATGCTTTCAATTGTTTCATGCCTTCAGCTCCTCGGAAGCCTTTTCCATAGCATGAAATGCTAATGCAGGAAAATTGGTATTTAAGTTTGACTTTTGGATCTCAAAATGTTGCATCTGGAAGAGTACTTAAAAAAAAAAAAAAAAAAAAAAATAGGCTATACATTTTGTCCCTTTTCCTGCTTTGGGATTTTCTTGAACATCGAAATTTTTGTCTCTGAATTTGTCTGATGTTTTTCCCTAGGAAAATATTCGCTTCCCCGTTGAGTCCTATGCTAACACAGGTTTTTAGAGTCTCAGTTTAACTTTGCCCCTTCAGCAGTCCCACATTTTTACAGTAGAGACAGAACTTCTGTCTTAGTGTGTCCATGTATAGGAGAGCAAAATAAATTACTCTGTCACTGGATATTAATCTTCATGCAAACATTACAAAGGTGCTTAAAGAAATCTTTGACGAAACACTTTAAATGTTGTAATCAAGTATGAATATTACTTGTAACATTTGTGCTGTTTTTCCTAAAGTTGAACGAAGAAGAAGATTTAATATTAATGATCGTATAAAAGAACTAGGCACTTTGATACCCAAGTCAAATGACCCGTAAGTATAATGTGCCCAAGGAGGCTGTGGGAGGGAGGTGTTAAAAGGAAAAAATCTTAGGGGAAAAAAAATAATTAAAAAAAAAAATCCCGAATTTTCTTGTATGATCTTGGCACTCTGTGACTGTAGAAATGCTTGAAGGTTCTATTATATTTTTTGAAGATTGTTTTGGGGTTTATTTTTTCTATTTTGGAACTTGCTTAGATTTATATTAATTTGAAGATTTTTGTCACGACACAGTCACCGTACTGCTGTGCAGCAGCTCAGCACCCGTCAGCACCTTGTGCTTTGGCAGGGCTGGGGTTGGTGCTAGGAATGGCTGCCTTACCAGAGGCAGAGCTGTCAGGATGTAAAATCTCAGTCTAGTCTTGCTGCTTAGCTGGCTGCCTGGCTGCTTGTCTTGCTAAATGATTCTTTTAATTTATTAGATGTCATAGCTTGGCAAGACAGAACTAATCCCTCTATCTCTCTGAAAATGGAGGGCAGTTCATGTGGGGAGCCGTCATATTCCCCTACCCTCCAAGAAGAAAGATGAAGAGCATAGCTGTGTCTGTTCACTGATAATTTGCCAGTGTTTGTGGTAATTTCCCAGTAGTTCTTTTAGTTAATTTTACTGCTACTAACTTATCTTAACATTTTCCCAAGGCTGATTCAATAGCAAGGAACCCCCCTTGCTCTGGAGCTTGGAAGTCACACTTAAATCTGAATCAATGCCCTGTGATGCTTTTAGGGAGAGTTTCCATTATGTTAAGGCAGTTGCTCATGGAGCAACTCATAGCTACTCTTCAGAGAGACAATATTGCACGGTATCAATCTACAGGGCCGGTGGATCTTTGGTCTGATAGTCTGCAGTAAACTTTTTTTATTTGAGGAAAGTAAGATGATGTGGGGGAGCAGATGATGCAGGCAGCCTCTCTCTCTAAAGCGAGTGTGGGAGGAATAATGTGGGAGAAGCAGTACGGGAGCCACGTATCCCTTGACTGAAGAACCATCACCCCGAGGCTGCAATGTGGCATTTGTATTTTATCCAGAGTTTGTTCAAAGCACCTGAACATGCTGCTGTATTGCTCTCTTCGCTTCCTACTGTAACACAGCTGTGGTACAGTGCCACCAGGAGGACTGTTGCTTGCTGCTTCTTGGGAGCTAAAAAAGGGCCCCAGGTCTTTCTCCCGCAGAAGCACCAGATCATATATGGTCCTTTAATTCCCCAGCTGAAGTCCGGCACCACCCAGACAGCAAGCTGTGCCATCTTCGAGAAGAGTCTCGTGGGGTTTTTTTGTAGTTGCCGTCTTGTAGCCTTGCCATAAGGCAACAAAAGCAGCCCCTGGTCTTCAGTGGCTCTGCTCAGCGCTGGTCCCAAACCATGCGGAAGGTGGGGGCTCGGCCCCGGGGGGCTGTGGGGAGCCTGGGTGGCCGCAGGGCAGTGCCTGGGCTCCGTGCCCTGCGGCTGGG